TAGATAGATAGATAGATAGCAAAACCACAACTGTTTGATACTCAGCGAATCTGAATTGCAGAACTGACACTGTGTAAGATGGAGAGAGTAAAAAGCTGTGAAATGATTATTAGAATTTTACATTCATCATACCCATATTGCTGAAGCGCACTTGTTCCTGTTCATTGTTTTATTTGTTGTGTTTTCTATCGCATGCAATAAGTAAAGAAAAAAAAAGAAGAAAAGGACACCACCATATCATTATTTTTATCTAAGGGATGTCTCCATACCACGAGAAAAGATTTTGTATTTTCTGTTCAAATGTCAAGTTCAATAGTGTGTTCTATAGATGTACAAACTGTCTGGCTAATTCTGTTCTGTATAGTTGTGATCACAAACAGGGGTTTATCTTGTACTGTATATCTACTCACTGGACAATCATACGTATAAGAGACTGTAAAGAAAATGATATAGAATCTGTTGGGATGGAGAATCTGAACACTTTTGGTGCTGGGTCCTAGTCTTGCTGGAGCTGTGGAAGTTTGGTGTGAGAGAAATATTTTCCAGGAAAAACTGCTGATTCAGTTTAAAGTGTACATCTGGACAAACCACTTTGGATAAAATGTACAAATAAAAAACAGAAAATGGAATAAATATCCATTCATAGACCCCAAAACTAGCTGGATCTGATCAGAAAGTCATTGTCTTTACTTTTGACTCATAGCAGAATGTTTTGATTCCCACGAAACAATGAATTAAAATGAACATGTAGGGTTGATACAGTATTACATTAAAAATGCAATGTGACTCTGTGAGATGCCATTTAAAGGTTTAAAAACAAAAACACTCAAAGTGTTTGACAATTTGTTTAGTGTGATTTTCTTCTGTACTGTACCTGGCATTTATACCATAGAGGTATTTTAAGACTGTTTCCTTCATTTGTAAAAGCAGTGGAAAGATGATTGACTGACACAGTTTGATTAGTGAGCAAAACTGTGAGGTTGCCATGCAGACTCGAGTTTAGCCCTCTCAAACCTCAGTCCTCAAATGCTTGGGAATACAACAAAATAAGAATCTATAACCTTTATAGATTATTTGTCCCAACCTGTTTTTAAATGCCTGCACGCAATTTTGCCCTATAGGGGGAAGTGTGACAACAACCACTGGATAATTTTTCTCAAAGGTGTACAGTATGGAATAACACTAAACACTTTAAAATATGTGCCAGAGAGCAGAAAAAATACCGATGTAAGACACAGTGTAACTTATCTATTTAAAAGAGGCTCCGTGTTTAAAACTAGCTAGGACTTAACAGATTTGAATCACTTTTGTATTTTTGTATAAACCTGTAAATAAGTTTTTAAAGAAAAAAAATGTTTCAAATTCTTTCTTTTGTAAAATAAATCAATAAAATAATAAAAACAAAAAAGTTTTTTTTTTTTCAAAGTTTACATGATTATTTCCAAGCCTTTGTATATTTTGGAGCTGTGCAACACCTTCAGTCTTGTATTTATTTTTTGGGGGGTTTCAACATTGTGAAAATTCCATTATTCTATATCTAATTCATTTAACAGCTCATCAGGCTGCTTAGTAACTGTGCATAGAAAAAAGACAATAAATGTGATTGCGTTGAAACAGAAGGCCTTTTGTGTGACACTTCATTTCCTCCCCATCATACAACAGAGAGCACTGAGCCCATTCCTCCACTAGATGGCAGCGTTTTAATGCTGTCTAGTTTCACTCTCAACTGCAGTATTTTTCGTTCAACAGAAGTTATGGGTCAGATTCTGTCTCTAAAGGATCCAGCAAGTCCAACTCAGATTAATTCTGTTTAAATTGACAAATACAGTCAACAGAAAAACACTGAATTCACAAACAAAAAAGAAGAAAAAAGGGGTTGTCTCATGATAGTGACATCTAAATAAGGCAGTAGGGATTGAGTCAAGTCAGGCTAAAAGAGGAGCTGAGAATGGACTTTATACATTACTTGATACTTGTCTTTCCAACTTCCTCTTGGGAAAATAATTTCAATGAAGTAATGTACCTACATTTTTCAAATTAAAATAAACTATACTATTCAGGCCTCATAGCAGGGAGCTGACCCTGGTTTCCTTAAAGCTACATGCTATTTATTTAACATGATCATATAAACAAGAGTAAGCATTAGGTGGTGAGTAATACAGGTTTAAACAGGGAGCACTATGCTGTGATTGTAGTTTGCTTCACAAGCTGCAAACAACGTATAAGATTCCTAAAGAATCTGCAAGAGGAGTCATAACTAGCCTGTTTATCCTGCTGCTGGTGAGCTATTTGAACTGGCTGATCTTTTGAACAATGATTCCTATTGGACTGTCACTTTCCTTAAGTAAGACATCCATGATCCTTTGACCCCCAACCCCCATCCCCTCCAGACACACATAGACAGACACAAACCACCAAAACTAAAAAGGACATTTAAACTATGCCAGTGATTTTTTGCATTTAAGTATTAATTTCTATTACCCCTTATACCTTTCTTATTTCTCTCCTTGTCCCCCAATTATGTTTTCACTGTAGGACTCAATCTGACTGACCAAGCCAGTGATTTTTAACGTGGAGGCCAGGACCCTAAAGGGTCAGAAGAAAAAACTGAGGGGTGGCGAGATGATTAACGAGCAGAAAAAAAGCTTTCACGCTACAAAAATTCTATTATTTTTTTAGATTTTTTAAAAAACTTTGCCTTTGTCTCATGAATATTTCCCATGCAGGCCTCTAAAAATAAAACAAGAAATAATATGTCCAATATGTTCGTAAGTCATACACATTTACAACTAATGATGATGGATTAGATGTTCCTTTGTTTGAAGGGGTTAAAAGTCAAAAAGGTTGGGAACCACTTTTCTGGGCTATTACTTGTGCTGGTACCTACCATGGTGGCCTTGTGCTGGGGTCTCAAACACTAAGATGATGTAAACAAATGTTTAATTGTGTGAATGCATATCAAACATATTTAACAAACATCTTTTGTTGAACGTACAGTAAAAAGTCGTATATATATATATATACACATGAAATGCTACAGAGCGATAGATGACAAGGCATAAAAATATACATAGTTGGTTATTGTGCAGTCCCTCTATGTTGTAGTAATGAAAACAAAATGCTAATGATGTAAAACATCTTCTAAGAAACAACCTACTAAAACCTGAGTTTCACATTAAAGCAAGACGGTTTCAAGTATCAACTTGTTTCCACTACAGGAGAGCAACAGTATGAAATGCAGCTACACATGATTTGGTTGAAAATGGTTCTGAAATGTTCAGAAAATTTGTATTTCTGCCATCGAAAACAGATAAATACTTCTGAGACATGTGAATAATTACTCAGACACAACATCGTCCTGTAGGTAGTTATTTGATGATGCACACAAAAACTATTTCAGGCAGAAAAAAAATGATTACACTTACGCTTGATACAGATTGATACACTTTGTTACAGTACAAAATGATATCAAAAAACAACCATTTGGCTTGACTTTATACAAAAGTTTCTCCCTTATGTACTCTCTCAGAAGCACTTTAACGTTCTGTACAGCACTCAAACTAGACTTTTAATAGCCTTGTCTTTATTTTAATGTCATCACGTAGAGTATTCCAGTCATCGTATGTGTATATCTCGTGTGTGGTTTATAGTGTGACTGTCAAAGCATAGTACAATCATGTAGCTACGTCAGGGCTCAAGCTGAAACCGTTGAGCCTGAATGTCTTCCAGCACACAAAACAGACACAAATAGAGAGAGAGAAATATCTCTTCAATAACTGATTTTGTACATCTACAGCCTGCCCTGCAGAATCAAAACTGATTCTTCCTAGATAAAATATCCACCATTTAAATAGAAGTGATGCCCGCTCCGCCAAACTTAATGCATGACCTTCGTCAAAAAATACATCAGTGTTTCAGTACAGGAATCATTCATGTAATGACTGACTTCAGGGAACAAGACGACTTTTCCAACATTTGGAATGAAACCCTTCAACACTTCCTGTAATTAGGGGAACTCCTGTTGTTTAGTTCCTGCTAGTAATAATGCTCATGACTTCATACATTCACTGGCTTGCATAAACTACAATTGACAGTCCGTAACAGACGCATTCAGAAGCCTTATTGCATTGTTAGTAATGAGGCAGTGAGACGTTCTCTGCCAGTACCTGAACTAACTTTCCCAATCTTGAGTGCAGGGCGTCCATCCTGAAATTCTGACCAAGGAAAAAAATTAAACAGTCAGATATCCGAAGAGATAAGGCTGCAAAACCTACAGCGTATGTCTCTGTGTCTAAAAGTGGAAATGTATAAGTAAATTAAAACGATGGCCTCCAGTTGTCCATAATAAGGCAAAAAGACACAAACATGAACAAAAATCATGCCTATGTTCAGATATCTGATACTAATTACACTTATTCAAATGATGAATTCATGTATTGTGTGAAAGTAAACAATGGTCTGTAAATAAAAAAAGTGTGTTCAGCTCAGGGCCATAGCCACAATTTTAGAAAGACTGAGGTCATATGTCCACTGAATATGTCAAATAATTTTAACTAAATGGATTTTTCAAATTATATTAGCTACCTGTTCAGTTATACTTTGTGTTTTCACAGCATCACAGCCTAAATGCTACTCATAACCGTCACTACACCTAAAATTATGTTATGTAATTTACATAAAATTATATTTATTTATTGGCCAAAAAGTACTATTAATTTAAACAGCTTGATTCTAAAAATATTGGTATCCGTTTAGAAAAATTATCATCATGTGTATGTTTTTATTTGTAAACTCCCTGAAAATAAAAATAAAACTCCCCCAAATTCTGGAGGACTTGACCTCAGGGTCCCCATCAATAGTAGCTACAACCCTGGTTCGGGTGGATTTACACTGCACTACATCCCTGTAGAATAATGTGTTTGTGTGTTTGGTTGCCAGTGAGAGAAAAAAAGAGCGCCTTCATCCTCTATTGTTTGGTCTGTTTCAGCTTCTCGATGTGATGACAGAGTTTGAGTGCCGGGCCCAGCTTCAATCCCATGTACTTCATAATGATGTCACTCCGCAGCAGCATCAGAGCTTTGCCATCAATCTCCTGTAGAGAGAGGAGCACGCTGTCAGCAGAGGGGCACATTACAAACACTTCCTCTCAGAACAATTTGATCACAATGACAATGACTTTATTAAGGCACTGAATGGTGGAAATTCCAGTCTGATTTGCCTTGAGCTTGGAGACTAAAAGCTGAGGGAGAGTTTATATAACCTGCAGCACAGTGAGCGAAAACCAGTCTTGCAGTGGAAGAAGGTTCATATAAAATTAAATACTCACATGTTTCCTGAACAGCTCAACATGCGGGCCAAGAGTTTGGGGATCAGCCTCTTGGACAAACCGTATGACATCATCGACTGACCAGGCAGAAGCGTCGTTCCCTGAACCCTCCTTGTCCTGTTTCATATGGTCTGGGCCTGTTGTTGAGCTAGCTGCTGGCAAGAGAAAGGGAAACCAAATCAAACAAATACCTTTGTTAAATATTAGACCATCTATTCATGATTTTATTAAGGTAGACGATGGTCAGTTATGTTAATCAGTAAAGCTTTTACTGCTTAAAACTCAACCACTTGCTAAACTTCTCCCCTGAACTGTGAATGTCCAGTCATGCATATTACTAGGACTAAGTGGCTTTATATAGTATTGTATAGGCCAACACAAAACCAAAGCTGTTTCTTTTTTTTCATGTCTTTTACATGGATCACAAACTGGAAAGAATGCTGCCTTTTCACCTCGAACGTGCAGCTTAAGCCTCAATCTTTTAAGACAGTATCCTGTGTCTAGCCATCAATTGCATTTGTTGAGACCCTTTCAAAAGATTCTTGTTTTAAAAGTCAGCTGGAAACATTAAAAACTACGCCAGACATGTTATTTTCAACCAGCTCATGGAGCTAACATTAGCTAGAAAGCTACAACTGTTAAAATCTGACAGTCGTCCTTTCATCTGACAAAAACTCTTGCTAGAAATGAGAAGCTGCTTTTAGCAGTGGAGCTTCCCTCACTGGTGACTGAGAGCGCTGTTGTCAGGTCAGCTGACAGTATGTTACTTCCTAATTAGAAAGCTATTAAAAGACAGTTAAAGCCACAGAAACAATTGTAACCTAAAAATTCTGTTGTTATTAATAGGACATATTGTACATATTAACCTTTTGTAGTTCTTGTACAGACTAGTTTTGTACTGAACTGACTCTTGACAATGTAGATTAAACATATTACTGAACTAAAGTTTTAATCACTTCTGACTTTATGAAAGGTGATGTGTACTGTTGTACATACTAAAGCAAATCTGAATGGTTAACGCTTAATTTAGGAAAAAAGGGAAACTACATAATCAGGGACTACCAATCTCTCAACTGAACCAAGTTATGCAAATCAGCAAAGTGATTTGTGATTTCCACCTCTAGTTATCCATGTAAACTGCATATGTGCTTTATGACAATGGAAATCTTGACAGTCATAGCACTGACTACAGGGGCCGGGCTTAGCAATCAGCCAATTAAAGGTGAACTGTTTGGGGAAAAGATCATCATCCTTTTTTTGAAGGTCAATGTTTGAGCAGAGGGGAAAAGTTAGGCATAATTTAATATAATATAACCTTAGGATTTAAACTTACAGATATTTGTAAAGTGCATTATTTCATAGTTTAATAAAATATCTCCTTTAATGAACTGTTCCTAACAATGAAATCATTGTACCCTGATGATTGTGTGTGTATTTATTAACCATACCCTCCACTCGTCTGTGTGCACACATTGTGCCAACTTCGGTTGGGTTGGAGCTGACACGTCGTAGGGCTGGCGGTGTTTGTGTCTGTCCAGGGTAATACTGCCGCTCCTTCTTTGCTGCTCTGTAGTCTGGTGCGGTGTGAAGGGAGCGGGTGTTTGGAACGGGATCCTTTGAGGAATCCTCTTTGGACACACCATTCTCAGTGTGAGACAGTGGTTCTGTTTCAAGAAAGGATGAGAGAGATATTGTTAGGACTGTGTAAACACATCTAGAAACCAGAAACCAGAAAAATGCTGCATTGTACTGCAGTGTACACTGTTATAAAGTGACTGAATTATGTAGGAAGATTCAAGAGATTTACTGAGTAAGTAAATGTCTGAGTTCACATAAAAAAAGGTAGGTAAAAAGCACAAACTCTTATTATCAGAAAACGTTTATCTTTTATCTGCATTTGGATCAAAATCTGCATCAAA